TGAATTTGTTTTTTTGGTGATGTTTTATTCGTGTTAGTATTCAGAGTTCAGGGTAAATACATGTCTATATCATAAATAAAACCGGTTATTTAGTATTATTTATGTTATAATATTTTGGTATTATTATTTTAATATTAATTTCTTAAGAAACCATTAATTATTTGTCCTTACTAAGTTACTAACTTTATTAGTATACAAACATGTCATCAAAAATATACGTTACTATGGTAATATGCTTTGGAATATATTTTATAAATTTCTTATATTTTTTAATTTTTAAATAAAAAATTCCCTAAAATTATTTACTCAGAGAAGATGGTACTTCTATGAATAAATTATCATTAAGGTATTTCTTTATCTATTAAAAATCGACGGGGAGGGGGTGTCATTATTAGTCAGCTTCCGCAGTGTTTGCAATTTTAATTGCTATTAACTGCAGTATAAGCAACATTACTCACAAAATTTTCCGAACACTTTTTTTGTATGTTTGTCTTAGTATTAATATATTTGATATTATATGATAATATTTCTTGGAATAATTATAATTAGCTTCCGCGTTGAGTATAATGAATATCTGTATGTATTTAAGTTGTTTGAACGTGATGATAATCTTAAACTAAAGTTATTATGTACAAATTCTGTTCAAATAAATACATGAATAATAAAAACACGATTCAAATTACTTATATTGATTAACTCGCCTAACTTAATAAATTAAGTTTGTTTTTGTAGTAAAAAAAAAAAACTATGTAAGTACTATTTCTAAAAATTATTTCACCTACACATTTTTAATAAAAACAGTTAATAATTTATCTAGACCCTTAGTAAAGTCCAATCACCAAAAAAATTTGCCTAACCTAAAAATCTAAAAGACATTTGTGGATGTGTTACAATATTACCGACATTGATAAGAGTTCATTTGACCTTGTGTTCTGTGTACGATAATCTATGGTACTAATTATTTGTGTTTTTCTTTGCAGAGACCAGTTAACATACCACATGCGAATTTAGCACAAGGTGAGTAAACCAATAATTGTTTAAATTTAATATTATTGTTGTAATTATTAATGAATCATTTGGCCGTTAAATTGATTCATTTTAATTATTGTTTGAAAAAAGATGACAGGTATTTTTATTATTATTATAGGTCATAGCAATGGGTCAAGAATAGTAGTGCTTTTATCTCTGACGTCAATAATTTTTATACTTCTCACAATCTTCTTGTGTTGAACTTTGTACTGATAATATATTTGTTATTTTTTCAAAAGTCTATATCTTTAGTAACCACGCAATGTAGTAATTGTCATACAAATGTTCATGGCATGAACAATTTACTGAATTTCTGAATTATTATTTATTTATAAAATAAATTTTATTATTATAATTCAGATGTTCAATATTAAGTGTTTAGAAAACATCCATTGGAATATTTGTAGCATTTTTTTTTGCACCATCTGTTATAAGTTTAAGCTCATATTTGATACACATATAAACATTTGACTTGACCCCCTAGAAATTTAATAAAATTATTTCATAGAGGGGAAAAAGTTAAATTGAGCACCCTAAAAAATTAGACTACACTAGGCTTATGAATACAGTGCTTTATTGAAGATACTCAAGTGCAATCAATACTGTCAATACCTCCAAAAATTAATTAAATTAAATATTTTTTTTTACACAATATTTTCAACACATTTTGCATACTTAATTAAAAAAGGAGGAAATGAACTGAACCTCCACCAACTAGTATTTCTTCTGTTTAACAAAATTATAATAATAATTAAAAAAGAAACTTAAAGACTTTCGTTTTAGGAGAAGAAACCTTTAATTTCGATAATACTTTGATAAATTTCATTTGTATACAAATGTTGATTTTCAAGTATTGATCTAGTTTTTGAGTTACCAAACAAAATTTTCTCGGACTAAAATGGATTATTTAACTGTCTCTACGAAATATTCTAAACTCAAATGAATTATTTATGTTGCTTTCTATGACATGTTAGATTTAACAATTACCAACTACCCTATAGAACTTTCGAAATGAAATGACGAGATTGTAAGCAATCTCGTAAAATTGTTATGTGTATTTTACCTGCATAAATTCGTGTGTTATGTGTATTTTACCTGCATAAATTCGTGTGTGTTACGTGACCGGTGATTAAGACGGGCGACTAATTACATTTATATGGTGTCCTAATAAAAGCATCTGCAAAAATTACCATATCACACGCACTCGCCGGTTCAATTAAGTCAAAACGATGCGAGTTCATGTTTGTTACCCTCCCTTGTAATTTGCGTGTTTAAATTCTAATGATGTCGTATTATATCTTTTGAAAAATTATTTAAAAAGGACCCGCCCTATTTTAGGCATTTTAATGATATTCATTTTTTTTTATTATTATTAGTTAGATACACGTGTAATCCGTCATATAGTGTATTCCAAAGATTTTTGTCGCGAAGCTATTTTATTAATTGTTGTCTTTTAACGCTCAGGTCTTCGAATCTGGTGTTTCATTGCCAACCACGTTGGCTGCATTTTTTTTTTTTTTTGACTCGTATGAATTTATTACCATTTGCCGCGACGGTGTTTTATATGACGCGATGTGTGTTTTATTGTTATACTCGATAAGCGAATTTAACCAACGCGCAATTGGCAATACAATTGTAAACAACAAGTTGTTGTTTTTCGGTGCCCTTGCGGTCATATTACTTCGTCTTAACACAAAGAGGGAGGTTTTAAACAAATATGTCTAGTAAGCCTTTACATGAAAAGTAAAGGCTTTTTGTATGTATTTTAAAAATTATAGTCCTTTATAATGTTTAAAACAAAAACGATTCAACTCGAAAGTTTAATTCGTACCCCTATTTTTCACTGTTTACCCAAAAAATAACTTTAGTTTTTCTTTCTAGATAGGTAATTGTTTACTATTAAACCATTAAGACTGATTTTATGTAAGAATTTTCTCATTATTGCCTATTGAAACCTTTTTGAATCTAAATTGATGTAGACTATGAACCTTACGTCAAGGTGGTTCATATTATCATTGCTGATTTTGCTAATTATCTCGGTTGACGAATAATTGTTTTTTTTACGTTATTTGGCTTTTAAAAATGTTCGCTTGTTTGAAAAAGTATTTAATGTTCATAACCGGTAATAGTTGGACACAATATTATTAATTTCTATTCAAAATAATAAACAGATAAACGGTGTCAACCAATGAACAATTGCAGAACTGAAGCGTGTTAAGATATGACTTTAACCGTTTAGTAATGAATGCCAATAGATAAGTTTAAACCGTGGTAGATTACAATTGACAATAGTCTACCGCGGTAAGGCTTAATGAAATTCGATTTGATCTCTGTAATATTTACTAACTACCAAAAGAATGAATTTATAAGTGGAATTTTTTTTTGCATCTTATTTATCAGTTTAATGTGCGCGTTTTTTTTTTCTCAAATTTTTCTATTGATTTTTTTCAATTTCCATGAAAAATTACAAACATTTTCCCTGGTGTCATATTAATAATTTGAGCGAGTTGTATTGATCAACTTAAATACACGAGACGTGATATTTAAATTCAAAATTGTTACTTGTTAGCTGAAAATAATAAAATATGCGTTGTAGATTGCGTTTAATTATTAAATATTTTAGTGTGTATGTATTCGTGTTATTAGTCGACAGAACTTGAGTTCACGTTTTATATTTATTATGTGACTTTGTATGCATAACTACTTTTGTGTACATTTCAGAACTGCTGAGCATTTAAATATTCTAAAAGCCCTGAGAAATGTTTTGACCTTTTGAGAGCGAATAATTATGTGATTATAAAATGAACCTTTTTTGCTAAAAATATATGTAGTTTACATGAATTAAAATTAAACGTCAAAACCGCGGAAATAAATAATTGAATATTTCTTATTATTTAATTTTTTGATATTATATTTTAGATCTTATTTCGTTGATTAAAATTTCTTTAAAAAACTCAATTTACAAATACAGTACGGATAAATTTTGACATGAATATGACACTAACCGTATTGGAAGTATCGTAAGGTTTTAAAGGTTGGGATTTTAAATAAACTCCTACTCGAAAAATATAGTTTTTAACAAAAAATAATAACGCGGGAAAGCCAGAAAATAACGAGTTTCCCTAATATGTTTATTGAAAACAAAGAAAAACGAGGGAAATAAATTTATATGAACTTCTTTTGATCATTCTTACATAATTTTTAAATTTAAATATCAATCACAATCTATAGAATGTAATCGTATAATATAATCATTTAACGTGTTTTTTTTTCAATTCAATGTCATTGAATTCTGAAACTGTAATAACGTATTTTGCTTACGCGATTAAAAAATACATACACTACCCGGTTGTCAAACGACATTCGAACTTTGTGTATTATTTTCCTTGTAATCTCATAAATCGAGTTGTCCGCATTTATTCAATTGGTCATTTTTAACGGCATTTCAATTATTTTTCCTAGTAATATTGTTCGAAATTCAAACGATAATTTGCGATGGAAAGATGCCTACGTGAAAACGATCACGGCGCATCGTTTG